TTGCTTCTTTTTTGTTATTTACAATTATGTTTTCTCTAAACTAGCTGCCAAAGAATGTAGTCGGGACAAAGAAGCTAGCTCATCAACACAAAATACAGCAGGTGGATGTCCTGTTGTTGTTACCAATCCTATGTCTGTATCTGTTCCTAACCTTGCTTGTTCTGATGCTAACAATACTTTGGAACCAACAACTGCAACTGGTTTACTAGAAACATTTACTGCAATGGCACGAAGACGAACATTGGGTTAGTGTTTATGTAGCCTTGCTTAATGATATTTATATACGAATAATTTAATTTTATTAATTGTATTTTATATAATGCTTGTTTGCTACTAAATTAGCAATAAGTACTAAAAAAAATTCTTTTAGGACCTACAGGTGGACAACATATTGCTTCCAATTCTAATACTGGTTCAAATTCACGTGGACCTAATTCTGTATCAAGTTTAGTTCGACTTGCCTTAAGTCCTAATTTTCCTGGGGGTTTACTTAGTACTGCCCAGAGTTATCCAAGTTTAACCAGCAGTGGTCAAGTAGCTGGAAGTGGTGTTACTACAACGACTGGACCCGGCCTAGGACAAGCACTTACAATGTCATTAACTAGTACAAGTAGTGATAGTGAACAGGTAAAACTTAATCTTTAACAAAAAATTATTATGAAAATTATATTAGAAACGTTTTTATTATCAAAAAAGTATTTACTATATGCTATGAATACAAAATCTAAAGTGAAGTATATAATTCTATATAATGTAATAAGCAGTTATGGCTACAGGTTAGTCTTGAAGACTTTTTGGAATCTTGTGGAGGTATTGCAAGTTCTAGTGCTAGTGGAGGTAGAACAACAGGTGGACCAACTCTTTTAACTGAATTAGAAGATGACGAAGACGGTGTTCTTGAAGAAGAAGAAGACAATGATGAAAATGATCAAGAAGTACGTTGGCAAAAATTGTTTTATTTTAATGTAAAAGAATGAATATTTATTTTTTTTGTGTATTCTTTTTTTATAGGAAGATGATGAAGAAAATGAAGAGGAAGGAGATGGTTGCGATGGTGATTATGAAGATGTAATGGTAAGTCGCAATCTCCTGGCAGCATTTGTGGAAGAAGAAACTCCTCAAAATAGTAAGAGACGTGCATGGGATGATGAGTTTGTTTTAAAACGTCAATTCTCTGCTCTGATTCCTGCTTTTGATCCACGACCTGGACGAACTAATATTAATCAGGTAAAAATATTAAGTAAATTGAATAAAAATATTAAGTAATTGAATAAAATTATTAAGACATTTAAATGGTTGTAATGACAATGCTATATTTGATATACGTGACAATGAAATATTTTACAGACCACAGATCTGGAAATTCCACCGCCTGGTAGCGAAACTCAGTCAAATACACGTTCAGGTTCCTTGCCAATGCCAAGACTTTCTTTAACACTAAAGGGACCAGGTCTTCCTGGAGTATCGGATGTTGAATTAGCACTCACGGAACCACACGCCAGTATTTTCCAACAAGTACAAGAATTAATGCAACTAACAGAATTAGGTAGTCGACAAGAAAAACTAAGAAGAATATGGGAACCAACTTACACGTAATATATTTATTTTTTAGTATACTGTATTAGTCAAAATTAAATATTCATAATTACATATTGTTTCTTTTTTTTTTAAATAGAATAATATATAAAGAAGCAAAGGACGAAGAATCATCTGGAAGGGCAACACCAGTTGTTACATTATATTCTCGTAATACAGCTCAAAATTCTTCAGTATGCAGTGTAGAGGATGTATTGCAACTACTGAGGCACGTTTATGTGTTAAGCACTACCCGCGATGACGGTAAACATATCGATTATGAAGAACTTGAGGAATCAACATGTTGGGTTCATCCAGATGATTTCACTTCAAAGAAGATTACGAACAAAATAGTACAACAAATTCAAGATCCTCTAGCATTAGCTGCTGGAGCTTTGCCAAATTGGTGTGAAGAACTAGCAAGAAGTTGTCCATTTTTATTACCTTTTGAAACTAGACGACTGTATTTTAGTTGTACTGCCTTTGGAGCTTCGCGATCCATTGTGTGGCTTCAAACACAAAGGGACGCTGTTCTCGAAAGACAAAGGGCACCAGGTTTAAGCCCACGACGTGATGATATCCATGAATTCCGTGTTGGAAGACTTAAACATGAAAGAGTTAGTGTACCTAGGGGAGAGAAATTATTAGACTGGGCAGAACAAGTAATGAAGGTAACTTGTTAATTAAATTTTAATATTTATAATGTTATACATTATTTGTATTGGAATAGAAGATACAGTGAGAAAGTTGAAATTCTATTTTTTATTGCAGGTACACGCAAGCCGGAAGAGTATATTAGAAGTGGAATTTGTTGGCGAAGAAGGTACTGGTCTTGGACCTACATTAGAGTTCTTTGCATTAGTTGCTGCTGAATTACAACGTAAAGACTTAGGTTTGTGGTTATGTGATGATGAAGACTTGCTTGACACGGATCAATCCCGAATTTCCGGAGATCAGGTTCGACCCCCAGGATATTATGTAACCCGACCGAGTGGATTATTTCCTGCCCCTTTACCACAAGATTCTTCTGCTTGTGATTGTGCTGTTCGATATTTTTGGTTTTTGGGAGTCTTTTTGGCAAAAGTTTTACAGGATAATAGATTAGTAGATTTACCATTGTCCCGTCCTTTCCTAAAATTGATGTGTCATGGTGACATTACAAACAATGTAAATGAAAAGATTGGTCTTAATGGTGTAACGCAAGAAAGTATATCTTCAAGCATGTCAAGCAGTTTTATATCGGAAGAGGGTGAAGCGGATACAGCATATTCTTCGTTAGAACCAGCTTCTTGGTATGCTGGATTATTGGATATTGAAGATCTGGTACTTGTCGATCCAGTAAGAGGTGAATTTTTAAAAGAGATACAAACGGCAATTTCCAAACGTGATAGAACACTTTCCGATAGTCGTAATTCTGTCGAAGAAGAAACGACGTTAAATATCACTCATCCATCTGGAATGTCAGTGCCTATTGAAGACTTAACTTTGACAATGATGTATTCTCCAAGTTCCAAGATCTTTGCATATGATCAGGTAGAATTAATAGAAGGAGGTGCAGAGATTTCAGTTACTATGGAAAATGCAAGAGAATATGCTGAGACGACAATTAATTTCTGTCTTGATCAAGGAATTTCAAGACAACTAGAATCGTTTAAATCCGGTTTTTCAAAAGTCTTCCCAATGGAAAAACTTCATGCTTTCAGCCCTGAAGAAATAAGGGCTATGCTTTGTGGAGAACAAAACCCACAATGGACTAGAGAGGATTTACTAAATTATACTGAGCCAAAACTGGGCTACACAAGAGAAAGGTAAGAATATTTAAGGTATATGTAAATAACTCCAATTATTGCACACTCTATTGTACTAAATATATCTTTTTTACTGTTACAGTCCTGGTTTCCAAAGATTTGTCAATGTTTTACTTTCGTTGACCGGTCCGGAAAGAAAGGCTTTCTTACAATTTGCTACTGGATGTTCAGCTTTACCTCCTGGGGGATTATGTAATTTGCATCCTAGATTGACTGTTGTGCGAAAAGTAGATGCTGGTTCAGGTGGTTATCCCTCTGTTAACACCTGTGTTCACTATTTAAAATTGCCGGAATATCCTACTGAAGAAATACTTAAAGAAAGACTCTTGGCGGCAACTAGAGAGAGAGGATTTCATTTAAATTAATCTCGTTTCTGCTCAGGCAAGGAACTGCTACGATAACGTAGTCAGAAATACTCGCTCTTAAAATGCGCGAATCGATCTTTGCTTTACAGATTACATTATGTAATCTATACGCAAAAATCGAATTTTGTCTTGATGTTGTTTACACAAAGCTAAAACAATTGTCCAATAAGAATCAGTATAGATTTACAAAAATAATTTAATACAACCTGGAACGGAAATATTTATATCTAAAATTATTTCAAACAAATTAATGAAAATTCACAACATATCATAAATATTTAAATATAATATATATAATATTTAAATTTGTTTATTTGATAATGAAAATCCATAATTTAATTATTAATAAATTATTTCTTCATTACTTCAAATTATGTATTATAAATTTTATTATGTGAACTGATATTAGTGTCTTATGATATGAGTTAATATTTAAATTAATGTTGTGAAATGTGCTGCAAAACAGTACTATACGCTTATTTAATATAAAAAAAGTTAACATGTAGTGTAATAACGCAGATTATCCGTTCCAGGTATTGGCCATAACTATATTATAAATTTTGTCCAAATACAATAGAAATTGTATTTTCTCAACAAGTGTAATTTACGCGAGTGTTTTCAAGTATATTTGCTGTCCTTGTGGAACAAAAACTTTATAGTTCCTCATTTTAAAACGAATGTTCGTATTGTCTTCTTTATGAAATATTGTTGTACTTGGAAAGTGATTCATATGTAAAAAAGAAACAGAGGCATCTTTAATGAAAGTTTTATTTTCTTTATCAGAATGCCTCTCATGTACTAAAGCGATATGAAAACGCATAAGATGTGAATCAAAATTGACTTGTGCAAAGTGCTAAGTTTTTATCTATCATAATGAAAATGATGTTTTTAGCATCTAGACCAATTTTCACAGCTTCAAATATTTGTTCTTTTAACTAAATATCAATGCATCACCATGTTTATAAAGATACGCGAGTGTCTAATAATACACGAAAAAGAAAATATGAATGAAACCGTTATGAAAACTTGGCAAGCTGAGCACTCTGCATCTTTGTACAATATGCTACTTAATGCTCACTCAATAATTATAATTATAGGCGAAAATCAGTATACTTGTAATAATAGTGTCTAGACAAAGATATGAAAATAATATAAATGTGAAAAGATTGATAAATAATCGATATGAGGAATAGTTACTATTACTGTAATATAAATTATTATTGATTCTTGGGGAAAGAATAAAACGAAAAAAAAACATTATAAAGTATAATATGTTTTTCAACATAATTTGTTACATGTTTTATACAGTTTATGAATATAAACATATATTTAACAATTCCTGTACTGGTTAGAAAAGATATATAGATATTTCGGATCCTACGTCGTGTATCATATCACCAGTATATACTAACATATTGTATCTTAAAATTATGAATTCCATACGATCGTAACCATAGTATGTTACATATCACAATTCACATATCATCAAAATTTTTATTTTGTTTTTTACAATTTTGCTGAAACAGACAAGCCACTTTCAACATCATGATTTACCGATTCTAGTCACTTGTTTTGTAGCACATTGTTTGCTTCTGTACGTTCTTCCTCTAATTCTTTGGAAGTAATACTCAACTTCGATCTAGCAAAGTCATTGATAGGAAGTCCCTAAAAAGAGTCAATGTAAGTTATTTTTTGACTAACAAAATATATCTAAATACCAAAAATAATATAAAGAAATATTTACTTGAACAATTTTGTATTGTCCATTTTCTATAGCAACTGGAAAAGAAAAAACGATATCTCTTGGAATTCCATAACTGCCATCAGACAACACACCCATGCTAACCCATTCGCCTGGTTTGGTACCTATCCACCAATCCCTCATGTGATCTCCAGCTGCTTTAGCAGCCGACATTGCAGATGACATCTTTCTAGCGGATATCACAGCTGCACCACGTTTCTGAATTTTCTCCACAAAAGTAGTATTCAACCAGTTATCGTCATTTACGACTGAAGGCACTGGCTTAGTAGAACCTTGAAAATTCACAGTGGCATGAGCAGCATCAGGATATTGAGTTGAACTGTGATTACCCCAGATAATAACATTTTTTACTTTATCAACCTGTTCGCGAATATTATTTATTTAGTTTCGTAGTTAAAATATACAAGTTCATATTTAATATAATGCTAAAATTAATTACCGATACATTCAATCGTGCTGCTACAGCTGCTTGAGCACGATTTTGATCCAATCTAGTCATAGCAGTAAAATTTTCTTTTGGTATAGAAGGTGCATGATGAGAACAAATCCATGCATTTGTATTAGCAGGATTACCAACAACTAAGACTTTAACATCTTTTCGAGCATGTTGATCTAGAGCTTTTCCTTGAATTTTAAAAATCTCTGCATTAGCTGCTAAAAGATCTTTTCTTTCCATTCCTTCTTTTCGAGGCATTGATCCCACAAGGAAGGCTGCAGCTACATCTTTGAAAGCTACATTTGGATCAGCTGTAGGAGTAATTTCTACAAGCAAAAAATTACAATAAGTAAAATATAAAAAGGGATATATTCGTATATATATAACATACAACTTTATCAAATTAAGAATATGAATTGATGAAAATGTGATTTAGTTTCTTACATAACATTGATATTACATAATGTTTTCTATTTATAATCGTTGCATACATTACATGACATCATGAATAATATTACTTAAATGTTATATGAAATGATTCATGACCTATGATTTTATATATTTTACAAGATTGTATTAATTTATAATCTTGTGAATTTGATTTATCTGACATAAAATAATTAAATATTTAGAAAAAATGTTGATACAATTTTGTAATTACAAATTATATTTTTACCTTTTAAAAGTGGAAGAGCTAAGTCTTCTAATTCCATAATTACTCCATCTAGTACTGTCATCATAACAGGAATATCTAACAAACGAAGATTAATTGGTTGATTTGGACCAAAAACTGATCCAGCAGCTAGTTGGTACAATAAAGAATAGGCAATTTGTCCAGCAGCTCCCGTAACCACCACATTTATTGGTTCACTCTAAAACATTTAAAAAAAGTATAAATTCAATGACTTAAACGTAAATCATTCATCAATAATCAAAAATTAATCATAAAGATAGTTAGAAGAATAAAACTTGAACATTTTTTAAAATATAAATTTTATATGATGTTATTTCATTTTTAAAATACAAAGTGTTTTTTAACTTCTATACTCTGATTCCCTTCATACAGGTGGTTTTACTTAGTATAGTGTTACAATAATTAATAAATAATAAATTGCAAACAATTGATAACTGAAAACTTGTTCAAGGTCAAATGTAGGTTAAGCGATTGTGTTACACATGAATTAATTAAATAAAATTTTTCAATTATTTTAAATTATTTTTACAGTACACAACAATAAATATATTTCTCAAGACTTACCATTTTTAGCGTTATGTTTTATAGCGAAACTGTTCTCGAATGGCAGGATCGAAGAACCTATCGAACTCTCCAGGATTGACTAAGGTCAATTTGATTGCTGTAATGTCGGCGACTGATCTGGAAGATAGATTTGAATTCGACTAATAGCCCTGGAGGCCAAATATTGCAATTTATTTTACGTTTTACTCGACAAGCTCACTATAATATTTCATTTATAAATAACAAAACATATATATAAAAGAGGTAATTTTTTTTCAAATTACGTTTAAATTATTATGCAAAATTGTTAATATCTCGTAGAAAATAATATACAAAGTAAATTCCCGCTGTTTCTTCCGCTATCGCGTATAGTTTTGTGCGCGTTTAGTAAATTAGTGATCTATTAATAAGGAATGTCGGATAATTTAAACATTTATTTTCGTTTTATTCCAACATTAGATACATGCTTTATACGCAAAATTTTGTTGCATAATATTTACAATCACGTAGAACTTCAAAAATTTATTTAAGCACAATATCCAATCGGAATTTAATCTACTTTGCTGCCATCTATTTAGCGATATTGCCATATCAATAATTTGCGTTCGGATTAGTAGAATGATTCTCCATCTAAGAGCTAATTACACCGTGGTGTACAATTTGAACACAACACTGAAATTTTCTATGCGAGTTTTTATATTTTTTTTTTTAGTTAAACATTTCTTGTGATTAGTTGTAACATATACACATATATTTTAAGTGTTACTATTTGATCGAGATATTTGATCGAGATATTTTTACCGAAGCAGTATATTAAATATTTATTTATTGACGTGGTATTATCGGACATGTTAAGGGAAATGTTGGCTACTATGACGACCTAAAAATCTCAACTTTGCTACGCTCATGCATGCAGTACCAACACTGTATAGTGGATTGTACCGCGGAAAATAGCAGACGTTAGATAATTGTGGAGGTTACTCCGATTCTGACAGATTTCTAACATGCTAATTCAAATATTAAGTTGACAACAGTTTGACAATTTAGTAGCCAAGTTTACATCGTAATTTATTTCGCGTACAGATGTATAGATCACAATTTTTATTGTCATTATAGTTTATTTTTTTCTCCCGTATTGTGTTTAATTTTTTTCTCAATTTGTATTCTCGTAATACGCACTGCAGAGAATATTCCGTATCATTATGAAGTTGCATGCAGATGTGTATGACAAATTATATTTGTAAGTATTATTTTTATGTGCTTTTTTAGAGAAATTGAGTAATTAATAGTAGATTGATGACTTATGTGTTTGTATGTGTTGATATTTAATTATATTGACAACTGATTATTTTTTCAGATACATAACACCTGAAAAGTTTTATGTAGAACCTGTTGGAACTAAAGTGTTGCTTGTAGTTGATAGAGTGAGTCAGCAAATTTATACACAAGGTAATTAGTAACTTATAATTTGCGTTCCATAATAAGGTAAATTTTTTAACATTTCATTTATGTTTCTTTCAGCTGGTACAGCTAGTCAAATTCCATCAACTGCAAGTCGTAGAAAAATATGGGGTATAGTAGGAACTATAAGGTTATTAGCATGCCGGTATCTTATAGTGATAACAGATGCTACAGAAGTTGGGACAATAGCTGGTCATCAGATTTTTAAATTAGTTTCAACAGACGTTATACCCTATACAAAATCTTCACTACATCTTAGTGAAAAACAAGCGCAAAACAATTCAACATATGTAGAGATGATCAAATCTGTATTAAATACACCTTATTTTTATTTTAGTTATACGTATGATATCAGTCATACAATGCAAAGACTTCATAATACCCCTCCTGAATTTTTACAGGTTATTATCACAGGCTTTTTTATCTTTTATCACTCTGTATTATTATTTCTATTGGAGTATACTACAATGGAATATATGTTTTTTTTTTTATGAAATAGATGCCACTTTATGACAGGGCAGATCTTAGATTTGTATGGAATGCTTATCTTCTGCAAGACCTAACATCAAGGCCTGAACAATATAAATTTTGTCTGCCTATTATCCATGGATGTATCCTTGCAAGCAAAAAGGTGGGAAGAAGAAAAGAGTAGAAATAGAATGAAATATACACATATATAAATATCTATTTTCCTTAATGCTTTTTTAGTCGTGTCGCTAAATACTATTACTGTAACTGGTAGCACATCATTTAATTTAGGTGTAGTATCTAGACGCAGTGTACATCGTGCAGGAACAAGGTTATTTTCACGTGGCATAGATACTACTGGTAATGTTTCTAATTACGTAGAAACAGAACAATTAGTCGAATTCAATGGACATCGCATGTCTTTTGTACAAACGAGAGGTTCTATCCCCTTATTCTGGTATCAGGCACCAAATTTAAAGTATAAACCTAAACCACAGTTGAGTACTCACGAGGATCATCAGACTGCCTGTGCAAGACATTTTGAAACTCAAATATTTCATTATGGAAAGCAAATACTAATCAATTTAGTAAGTTGATAAATTAGTAAATTGAAAGTAATTGAATTTTTATCAATGCTAGACCGATTCTGATATTGTGATTTTGATACAGATCGATCAACACGGTTCAGAAGCTACACTTGAAAAAGCATACCACAATGTTGTACAACGAATCAATAATCAAAATGTTCGGTACGAAAGTTTTGATTTTCATGCTGAATGTAGGAGATTAAGGTGGGACCGGCTAAATGTGTTACTCGATCGATTAGCTCCTGAATTAGAACAGATGGGTTACTTTTTATTATTGGAAGATGGAACATTGCTGTCGGCGCAAGACGGTGTTTTCCGTACTAACTGTATCGATTGTCTTGACAGAACTAATGTCGTTCAAAGTATGATTGCAAAAAGAGTCCTTAATGATGTATTATCAAGGTTGCAAATCCTTAGAAAGATCGAAGATCATCCTAGCATCGAAGAACATTTCAAACGGGTAGGAATATAGTTTTATGCTGCTTTTCTGTTTGAAATTTTTACATATAGAACTCTAATATATTGATTTTAGATTTGGACTGACAATGCAGACGTTATAAGTGTTCAGTATTCAGGTACTGGTGCATTAAAAACAGATTTTACACGAACTGGAAAGCGCACTAAATTGGGTGCAATGAGAGATGGCTTGAATTCTTTAACAAGATATTATAAAAATAATTTCACAGATGGTTACAGACAAGTAAGTATCTCTTTTGTGGAAGATTTCTCATTATTATATTTGCATGTAATAAGTTATAATATATTTATTGAACAGGATTCGTTGGACTTATTTTTGGGTCGTTATATTGTGCAAGATGGCGAATGTACGTTAATTCAATGTCCTTTGGAATCGGAACGAAATTGGCGTTATGCTACATTCCCTTTGGTACTTCTTGTTGCATCGTCCATGCTAGTTGCTCACGTAATTCTGCCTTCGAGATATACTACTGAAATTTTGTTGTATATGTTATTTTGGGGTGCTATGGTGGCCGGTACATTTGCAACTATTATTCACCATGGCAAGCAATATGTGGATAAACCTAAATTGCTTTAGAAAAGCTTTTAAGTTCAGGTAGCATATATTGTATAATATTTTCAAGCTCAGAAAACACAAATTTCTTATTATTTTTCACTAATTCAGTTTTTAATATGTTTTCGTATCATTAAGTGTTAAGGTTTGCTTTAAAAAAGTCTCAAAACAATCTAATATTTAGATTTGTAAAGGGTATTCGTATATGTATTGTAGCATTTTTATGTTCCAAAATTTGTAGTTTTAATATCTTTAATGGGATAAATGTAGTGAAGTCGGGCACATGTGTTTTTATCGATGTGTATATGGATTGAGGATGTAGTTAATATTTCCAATTGAGATATTGTTAATATCCTTGCATTTTCAAATAGTATAAAGTGTAACCTGTAAGGAATTCTACTGTTCTTTAGATCTATATGTTTTAAAAGAATTTGTAAACTATTGTAAAGAGTTTCTAATTTTGAGCAACATTTGCTCATATATAAAGTCAATCCGCATATAGTATTTAATATTTACCGTCCATAGAATACCTGCGATTTATACTATTTGAAATTCTGTTTATTTTCAATTCGAACATTGCAGGTGTTTGGCGGTATGTAATATATATTTGCAATGTAAACAAAAACAAAACAAAGTTAGTAATAAATTAATATCGATTTCTTTCAATGAAAAAAAGCATGTTTTAACAAATCATACAATCTTAATGATTGTAATTTATAAATGCTAGAATTCCTAGTCAAAAAGCGGATTGCATTCTAAGACATGCAAAATGTATTTTAACAATTTTGTAGGCGTACAACATTGAACCAAAGTATGTACTGTTTATAAAGTATGTAATGTATTATAAATCACAATCACCAATTACAATTCCATATAATCAGTCTAATTATGACGGGAAATGGGGGATATTCTGGTAAAAGAATATTTTTTAATATTTAAGAAGCTACTTTCATACTAAGTTCATACCTACTCAGTTGATACCTCTGCCCCGTTACACGTTAATAAAGTTGTTTTCTCTTGAAAAATTGATGTATTTTTATAGTTATAAGAGGATAGTTGCATCGATTTTCATTCAAGAAAATTCCATTCATTACTATAATGTTGAATAATTTTTGGAATGTAAATGTTGATTTATTAATTAAACATTCATCTATTTTGTTTCTTTGTGTATCCATTAGATAAATCCAGCAGCAATTAGGGAATTGTTATTTACCTTAATATAGAGGCGTTTTGTATTTGCTTTGGAATTCAATCTACGTGTTTTCCTACATAAAACACCTAACCACTCTGCAAAGTCCATTCAGATTGTCTGGTAAATTGTATAACAAAAATATTGTACGTAGATATTTTTAGCTTTTTGTTTTTATTACATTTGTAACGTTGTAGGTCCTCCGATTAACATTTGATATTTATCTATCATGAAAACGTTTTTAATTATTTAAAATTAAAACGACACATTATAAATCACATAAATGTTGCACTATGTACAGACGATCCTTACAGTTTCGTAAGAGCGGCACAGAAGTCAGAAACTTTTTAAAGGATCATCAAGGCCAATTTTTTTATATTCCATATAAATTGACAACATATAGAATGTGTTTTTTCAGAAAGCATAATTTAGCAGTCGAGATGTTTACCTAAACAGGTGGAATTGCCCTATTGCTTGCGGTGGTTAGATTCCACGTGTTAGTTTAGGGAGTCGGTGAGAGGCTCGTGGATTTCAACCGTATCGGGATGTAGGTCGATCCTTGACAGGACGTTTATTTATTTTACTCAATCAATGGAAATATACTGGCTTCTGTGCCGCTATACATATCTCCTCTGTTCCTCCGTAACTACCTATGAATTTAGTTTTGCAATACAAACTGTTATCTATACAAACTGGAATACCTATCAAATGGATAGTCGATTGTAGTTAGATGTAGTAAACAGATTTGATTATACGAATTTCTGGTTGTCTCTTAACGCTAGTGGCGGGACAGCCGTTTGTCTCTCCTTTCATTCTTACTGACAAAGATGGGAGAGGAAGGAAAACAGGCGGGCGACGTCATTTTCGAACAGAGGTGAAACTTCCCGTGGCTTTGAGCCTTTGATAAACGGTCGCCCGTAATTGGATTCGTTTTATATAAAGTTCCAACGAAACGTGCAGCTTTCTGCTATTAATTGGAGATGGTAAGCAGGATGCGCTGCTACAACGACGAGGAGAGTGCGGACTCGAGGTCGACGAGGATGATTAATTTGATTCAATTACAAACCGACGGCAGATCCAGGGCAGATCGATTTTATTACCATTTTCTCCTCTCCTCCCGCAGTCGCGAGATTTTCGTTTCGACGCTCAACAAAGAAGAAAAGATCATCCTCTGATACGATAGGGATGAACACTTTGTGCTCGCCCTCCGTCCGACGTTTCATTTTTGCTTCTTTCTGCGCCGGATGAAACCGATTATTGTCTTTCTTTATTGTACACACATGCTGTATAAATTTACTGCAGTATTTTACATCTTCTTTTTTCTTTGATCAGGAAGAGTAGGGTCATCTCGAGAGTCCGAGTAGATGTCGAGTTAA